ACTGCATATCGTACTGTGTATGACTGTGTATGTGACAAATAAAAATTTGAATTTGAATTTGAATTTGAATTTGCTGGCAACCCTGATAAGTTAGCCAGGAAGTTATTTGGTAACTTTTTGGTAAAAACAAAACAAGATGATGATACCACACCATTAATTTTAATTGAATTCACTGTTTTATTGAAGCGAACAGCATATCTTGATTGTAGACTGCAATCAGACTGACCCCTGGGATCGCACAGAGGTGGACTGATGTAGAAGCTGCCGCTTTTACCTGAATAAACATGCAGTTATGCAGTGACGTGGGTTTGCACCTGTGTGAAGGAGCAGCGACGCTCTACCTGTTGATTAGACCCACGTGCAAAACCCAAACTTGGTGCGTGTGTGTGACAGTGTGAGAGTGAGTGTGAGCGAGACAGCTGAGCGCAGGCGGAGCGCTTAGCCGCCGGCCGTGAAGGGGTTAAAGAGTTTTCCGTGTGCGGAGCGGCAGGCTGGAGGTTAGAGAGTGTTGCGGTGCAGAGCTCGTGGACGCGGCGGCAGTAGCGGCGTACAGCAGCGCACCGAACGCGGCCAACTTCGCCACAAAGCCGCCACTACTGCACAATAAACACGCCATGTCGGAGCGAAGGAGACTCTGTGGATCTGACTGCGCGCGGTCCTACTACTAGCGAGCGTGTGTGCGCGCGTGTGAGAGAGAGAGAGCGAGAGGGAGAGAGAGAGAGGAGTGAAAGAGAGAGACAAGGAGAGGGCTGCTCTTTTGCTTTCTGTGGATATCGCCTTCATGGACGGGCAACGGGGCTTTTACGAGATGGAGAACCCGGCAGAGAACCCCAGCAAGGCGGCGGAGTATCTGAAGGAGCTGAATAAGATCATCGAGACCCAGCAGGGGCTGCTGGAGAAGCAGAGGGTCCGGATTGAGGAGCTGGAGCTCCAGGTGACGGATCTTTGCAAGGAAAACGTCTGTCTAAAAGATCAGCACCAACGGCACCTGGCCACCTGCAGGCTCCAACAGGGCAACCTCTCCGCCCTGGGAGCCATCAAAGAGAATGTCATGCAGGAAAAGTAAGTTATCTGGCATTGGGTGGTGCTTGGTTTGGCTGAATAGGATGCTGTCAAAGTTTATTTTCCTCATCTTGTTATTCGCTCCGCGGCTGGAGAGATATGTTGTGTGTCTGTTTCATCTCAACAACCAAACCAAATTCCCAGTTCTTCGCCACTTTGTCACGGATCAGCTCTTTAATTGTCCGTGTAACGTGCACACTGTCAGGGATTATTTCAGGCTTACACAAGGCTGTGCGAGCTGTGCACGCGTATTGCGTAATGGATCCCGTCAGGCGCACCGCTCAATAGATATGCAACCCCATGAAAATGATATTGTGTGGAGCTCAAACTGTATCGGATCATGGTGGTCGAAGTCTGAATCGGTGGGTGTGACTTTCTTTGTATTTTCGCAGGAGAGAAAAGCGCGACCCGTCTGTAGCTGCGTTGTGAGGAAACAAGTTTACGCATCCTTTGCTTAGTTAAGAGTTCAACCCCAGGCGAGTGGTCAGATGCTGTGTGTCATACATTTCCTGTGCCAGGAGCTCTCAGTGAGATGAGAAATTAATGTATGCAAACACCTTGAATTTGACTTGGACTCGTCACCAAAGTGGAGGGCTTTTACAAATGGAAAAGACGTAGTTGTGTTGGAGAGCAGCCGAGTGCCACTATCAGGAGAGAAATGCTGCCTAAACATGCTGGGTTAACTGCTTGGCAGATGGAAGTACAAAATCAGGCTGTGATACTCTTGTGGTATTGCATGTAAACAAGGATTCCCCATGGATTTATTGTGCACTGTGTTATTGACAAAAACAAGCAGCTTTACACATTCAGGACACTGCTCTCTGCTGATGAGATTACTTATTTGCACCTTTTCATTATGTTTGAATATGATGGACATATACATTTAAAAAAGTAATTATTAATTCTCACTCAACAATATATATAATTTCACACACTTTGAGACACTTATCTCAAATTGGACACGGAAAGCAAATGTCTGAAAAAGCAGGTCCATCCAGGACTACTGCAGAGTGCTCAAGCTGCTCGCTTTCAGAAATGTTGCACTGTTGATTAATTTTCCATGAATCTATGCAATCAATACATGAAATGCAAAGTTAACATGAGACATTGATCACCAATATAGCAATGTTACAGTCTACTTGTTCATGTACTTCATGGGCCATAAACATCCTTGTTTGATTTGACAGTTTGAGCAGTTTCCCTACGCAGTTTTCTTATTGGTTCTCAATTCTTTAGTATTTAGGTATGAGCACAAAGCAACAGTACAAAATAAAAATAATAAGCAGCACACGCAGACTTCGAAGTGGTCACCACAGAGATCGTGCTATAGACAGTTGAACAGGCGGAAACAGAGGATGCAAACTGACTGCTAATCAGTTTGCTACCTGTTCAGTTCAGAAGTTCAGGCTGCTGGGCTGGGGTCAGCGCTCACTCAGCTTCATCATCAATCTGGATTCTTGGTTAGCTTAGCCTTAGCATGCTTTGTGTGCAGACCCTTGCAAAGAGCTGAAGTTTTGTTAGCAGCATAATGCGTTTGTTTCTGTTCTGTACGCAGTTTGCACTTCACCATCGCACTCTCATCCTTTTGTGCAATAAAATTAAAAGCAATATCCATGACCACGCTGTAGACTGTGCCACTATTTTCTAGAGGTGGGAATCACCATACATCCCACGATACAATATTATCACAATACTTAACGCACAATACGATATTATTGCAATTTTTTAAAATATTATTGCGATATTCAGATTCTCTACATAAAGGTAAACTTTATCAATATTCATTTTATCTAATATCAAAGTCTCACACTCAGTCTTTCTCTCATTTCAGTTTTATTGTTGACAAACTGAACGGTTTGTATTACAGTCTAGTCCAACTTAACTGAATCAACCATCTGGTACAATTATAGCTATTCTGAACTATGCAGTTTATGAAAACTATGCAGCCCCTTCAGCAACTGAAGAATTTGAAAGTAAATTAAAACAAAATATAATTTTACATTAAATAAAAAAGTTTTAAACTTAATTAAAATAAAACATGTCTTAAATTAAAATAAGTAAACTGTCATGTTTATTGTGCCAAAAAAAAGTTAAACACATTTGGACAGTGAAGGAATGTCAGGATTCTTGCTCAGAAAAAGGATCAACATGCTCTGAAGTCAGAGCACAAAAACCTTTTTTGTAACAAAATATCGATTTCTGCTGTCCTTGTATCGATACATTATTAGCAAACAAAATATCACGATGCTACACAGTATCGATTTTTTGCCCCACCCCTACTATTTTCCTCCTCCAGCAAACAAACTGAAATCGTGATTGTAGTGCAAGTGCAATTGGACCCAATAAGCACAATTCATAGGCAAGCAGCTGTGTTTGATCAACAATGAAAATATGGAGCCAAGGAGGTTCCTTCCTGTTGAAAGGGACTTTTTCCTTCCTACCATCGCCAAACTGAAGTAACATGGAATACAACACAGTTACACAAACATGTTCATTCAGACCTTGTGAAATAAAAGATGTTAGCCTTCAATTGGGCAGTAACCACTTCATGGGCATCCTTTGCATAAACTTTTAATGAAAAAGACCATTTGGATTTATTTTGTGATTCTTTCAAGTTGCTTGCACATTACTTGAAACACTTGCTATCATCAAGTGACTTCGCTTTTTCAATATCCCTTCTGTCACAAACCCGCTCACTGTTATGAACGAAGCTTTGACTGAGACGTTTGACTTCCAGGAGATATAAGATACACAGCATACAGCCCCGCATTAAAGGATTTCTTTCTGCAGTCATCTGAAAATTTGTTTTGTGGTGAATTGCTTGAACTATAAAGTGTGAAAACATAAAACAGAGCATAGCAGAAAGTGATAAATGACTACAGCAATTATTTTATTATCAAAGCTGCTGGGAACTGACTAAATCCAGCTGCATTTAAAAATATAATACTGTATGGAGGGTATGATCTCTGTTTAAAGCCTGTCCAGTGAATGAAACACCTTGAAGTTATCTTTTGAAGTTTAAGCACTAAACTTTAAGGACAATTTGAAAGCGAAGCAGCTGAAGCTGCAATATTCTGACATGTTTTGTGATTGTCAGCTAAAATATGTACTGGCTTTGTAAAATAAGGCAGTTTTGTCAGATGCTGTCTGCATAGATTACATTTATCATTTTTATATTACCTTTGCCTTTGTCAAAGGAGCTTGCAAAGAAAAGCGTCTGGACTTCTTTAAGTTACTTGAAGACGTTTCACCTCTCATCCGAGAAGCTTCTTCAGTTCTAAGGTCAAATGGTGGAGAGTCCCAGATTTAAACCTAGTGGGAGTTTCCCCCCACAGAGGGACAAAAGGACCCCCTGATGATCCTCTAATCGCCTGAGCCAAGGTGTGAAACTGGGTGTGGGTCCCAATCAGCCAGGGTTTCGGGTGAGCTCATCGTGAAACCTGGCCCCACCTTATCATGCGAATTCCTGAGGTCAGATGGCCCAGGATGTGAGTGGGCGTTAAGGCGTCTGGGGAGGGAACTCAAAACTGGATTATAGATGGCAGAGAGTTGGTGTCGTAAACCGCCGCCTCTGTTCAAAGATGGTCGCTCACAGTGGACATAGATGCTTCTTTCACTCCTCTTTCAAACCATCTGTCCTTTCGGCCAGAGGTGAAACATCTTCAAGTAACTTCACAGACATACCTTTTCCTTTAATGTACAAGCTGCCGGACTGCTGACCACAAAGAGAAAATCAGACATTAAAATGGGCTTTGTCATAGTTTCTATGGATAATTTCTCCTCCTTTCTTTCAGTGGTGGTTGAAATAACTTCTACCATCCGGCAACTGTTCCGACTGACTTAGGAACATTTTGAAATGTTTTTAAGGGTATAAATTTAGACTAATTTTGTAGTCTGACTTTTTGGACTTTTATATTGCACATAGACAATATAAAAAATGAATGTTGTTACCGTGACTTCACTCGCTGGGTTTGAAGCCTCGAGATGAGCCTTTTTGCTGCCGTGAAAGTATTGATAACGTTGCCTGAGGGGATATTAGATACGATGCGATAAAATCTCTGATTACAGTGCTGTCATGGTTTCCTTGACGTCCTACATCCTCCTATGTGCTTTTAATGTAAATGTGAAACTACAGCATCTCCAGTGGTGAATGATCAGCTCTACAGTCTAATGGCTCGTTTAATGATCCCTGCACAAGTTCAGACACCAACAGTTACGCTGCAGCTGCTGCTCAAAATGCTGCCTACACAAAACGTAGTTCTGCTCAGAAAAGCTGCTTCTGCTGCAATAACCTGGCTGTGTGCAGTGCGTGATACAGTAAAGCCTTTTTTCACCTATGACATCATTATCATATTTACTTGCTTATCACTTGTATGGGACTATAAATAGCTCTTGGTGCGACACAGATGACGGCAGCTCGTTTCACCTCCTGGGATTTTCTGACCTATTATGGCTTTTTAGTTTCCAAGTGAGGACGATGTGTCTCTGAATTCTCCCGAAATTTTGTAAAACTGTATTACATAAGAGTTTGGTTTGGTCAAAATCACTTCCTTTATGCACAAACACACACAGCTGACAGGGAGTCCTGTCCCCTGTGTTCTGTCCACAGTTGGGCCACGTCAGCTGTTCTTTTTGTGCTGACCACAGTCAGCATATAGTCCTGGCCTTGACTGGAGGACCAATGGGAGAGCTCTGTTCCTCGTGGGCCCTCTGACAGACGTCTGCACACAAACACACAGACACGGAGTGCATAATGTTAGTGTCACCACACAGTCAGACGGGTCACCCTGTTACTCCGTCAGTGAAGTAAGAGCTGCTTCAGAGTCTGTTTGTGTGTTGCTACAGTGGGATCTTGTTATCCTCAACTTTACTCCCTATATATGAGCTAATCCTCTGTGGAAGGGCTGCTTCCCCCTGTTTACGCTTAAATGTTTAAAGTTTACATAGGACACAAGGTCACCCAGCTCTTATCAAGGTCACGTGTGATGTGTTGTGGGATC